CTGCAATTTGTGGACTTGTGCCCACGTTGTATACAGTAAATGTTTTTGAAATCATAAAGTGGGCTTTTATTTGCTGTCTTTCCTTTCCTGGGTTATTTTCAGTTTCTAAAATAAATTACGTGCTATTTTTTCCTACACTGTTGTTCTCAATGTCATTTTCTTCTTTCTCTCCCTCTGGGTTATTCCTTGAGCAACACAACATGATTTCCTTCCTAAATCTTAAATTTATTTATTCATACATCAGTCTTTTCCTATCACTTCTACTGAAGCTTAATATCTGAGCTTTTTTTTTAAGAAAAATGAACATGAAAACAAGAGGGGACCTGTAATGAAAAATGGATCTTTTAACTACTAAGGGGCTACTGCAAACAGCTCAACTTTTGTGTAGGGATTTTGTTTAGACTAGTTTGACTCTGGTGTTAATTCCAGTCAGGATTTGGTGAACATTGAGTCTTATTCTTGAGTTTGTGGTAGAGTTACGCTGATGACAACACATATGAGTTTCTTGTCATCAGCTTTCGGTGCGCTGAGAAAGGGATTGGCAGGATTGTGGGCATCAGGGGACATGAACATCCTCATCAGGTTGATTAGGGGGCAATTGGAGAAGGTAGAGTAAAATACAGCGGAAGAAAGAGTGCTTAATAAATGGGATAGGTGGGTCATAGACTGCAAATGTTTGAAGAAATCTCATAGCTGGAGTTGAATTGAAAGTTGCAGCTAGGATGGATGGAGTGAAGTCAGATGGGAATCTCATAGCGAGATTTTGTAGGCCGGGGACATGAGTTAATAACAGAATTAGGGGGAAAGGGAAGGGTTTTCAATCCCAGTTCCAGGCACATTCACCTGGGCTGTAATTTGTCAGTAAGTGGCAGCGAAAGAGGGGCTGTCCTGGGGTCTCAGCATGTGGATGGAAAGGGATAAGCAGCAGGATAAAAATATCCGCCTTTTTGAATAATGATGTTGGAATGGAGAATGCTCCTTATGGTCTAGGCTGGCTGAGTGTTTCCTAGTGGGTATTTATAAAGAAAAACCATGTAAGGTGCTCAGATATTTCTGTGAAAACGGTTTAGTTGAACATCAAGATTTCAAAGTACTTGGCCAGGATCATAGTGCCATTTGAACGTGAGCGTGTGGTTTTTTGCTCGTTTGTTTATTTGTTTTTATGCCTGCCAAGATCTTTCTAGGAACAGGATATTAAAATGTTACTTGTTCTTTCTCTTTGGTTCCTCAGTTTGATCACAGCCCGTCTGATGACTCTGCTTCCCAAGTGAAAATAAGAGAGCAGTTAATTCTTTCTTTTTTCCCCCACTTTCTGTGCAGTCTTTTTCTTTTATGAGCACAGGACTTGGAGGCAGGATGATAACAAAGTGACTCAGGAGATGGGATGTTTAGACAGTTCTTTGAAACAGGAACTGCTGCTTTTTCTTGTGCATGGAAACAAAGGATCAAATGCAAAAAGGGGTCGAATACTTCAAATTTCTTTAATACCAAGCACGCTGCATGTACATGAGCGTCTGTTTTGGCACTGCGGGTATTTTTCTGAAGTTCACTATCACTTTTTGTCTAGTTCGTAGTAGAGATTTGTATAATATTAACTGAGGTAGACACAGGGTTGCCATTTTCTTGGACACTCTTGCACTCCTCATCCAGGGCTGTGGTTTAAGGGAACATGTGCTCGATGCCTTGTTTGCAGGGGGTAAGTTTACCCTAAAGCTTTGCATGGGATGTCATGCAGGGTAACTCACACACATTTTCTACTCTAGTTTAGTGTGAGCTGGCTTCATTTGGTGGAAAAATGGGCAAGAAACGGTCCATTAATGATCCCAACGATCTCAGCTTTGCTCCAGCGTGGCTTTGCTTGACCGTGGAGTCCCGGTGTGAAGATGGAATTTTGTCAAGGGAGAAAGACCGAAAAAGGGGCAAGCTGGCGATGGAAGTGTTTGCTCCGTGAATCGTAAGGAGCAGCTCTGTTTTTCACTTCCAAAACGGGTTAGCCCGGCAAAGGGTTTTACTAGTAAAACTGGGAAGACCTGTTTGAGCTCGTGAAGCGTGAAAGCTGCCGGCAGGCTCTGCATCCCAAACGTCACTTCTCCTTCCCTTCCCCCAGCGGAGACGTTTGGGGGGTTCCATGGGTTTTCCCTTCATCCTGGAGAGAGGAAAAGGCCATAGGGTTTTTGAAGCCTTCCAGTCCCAGCCGCCGTCACCCTGCTCATCCCCTGCCATGCCCAGCGCTCCAGATCTCCTCTGACACAGGGTTTTATTTGAAACCATTGCCATGATAACAAACTTCCCCCTGTCTTCCCTGTCTCCATTTTCTGTTTTCCCGCTCCATTTCTTGAGGCTCCGGTTTGGATGAGTTCACCTGTGGGTGTTTTACATTTGGCTGGGAACATAAGTAAAGGTGAAACACGATTAAGGTTAATGGGTACCTGCAACAGGGTCCTTGATCCACGATTGTGTGGGAAAAAATAAATTTCTGAATAGTTAGCAATGGCACCATGGTTTAATTATTCTTTATTCTTTTTAAAAATATTCTTTAAGCAGATGCTTCTTCCTCTAAAATAGTGCTTTTCTGGTTCTTATTAGCCCTGGGGATTTCTCTACCTCTTAAGTATTGAGCTATGCCTTGCGATTTGAGAGCTGCTATGAAACTTATTTTTTTTGTTTCCTTGAAATTAATGTAAATGAATATGAAAGCTTTGAGATCTCGTTGGGATTTAATTGTTTGGTCTGTGTTCCATCACACGCTTTTCCTCAAAGCCTTGCAATGGATGTTATCTCAGAGCAGCTGAGAAATCCAATATGCAGTGGAATAATATGTAAAGAAGAATATTTATTGGTCCTTCCGTCACACCAAACTGTAAGCAAAAGCAAAATCAGTACATTTTTAGTTAACATGAGTCCCTGAAGTGTGTGTTGCTGCTCCCCCTTGTACAGAAGAGATGATATTCTACTGTTGTGATTAAAAAAAAAAATACTAATTGCACCTTATGCTAAGCTCAATAGTATTATAAGTGGGGCCATAGGAACATTGTAAATATGATCATTATTGGTATCTCTCTTCAACAAACTTGTCAAGAATTCTCTCTACATTGTGGACCAAAGTAGGTTGATTGAAAGTTAGTTGAGATCCAGATTCAACGCGCTGTTAGGACTGCACAAATACAGTTTAATTTACTGGTGATCTTCCATTCCCTGCCCGGCGAGTGTTTGCAGGACGGATGGGCTCCCACCACCCTTCACACCTCCTACTATCCCCTCCTTAAACTGATATTTTTTCTGCAAACCAGGTGGATACTGTTTTGTGGGATCTATATATTATTCATATTATTTTGCCTCAAAATTTGTTGCCTTAATGTCCTAGGCTTCTGTTCCTGCTCTTCCTTGGGCACCCTGGTTGGTCAGTCTGCATTTGACACACTCTGTGTTTTCTGCCTGCAAATTGGCCTGTGGTTTTCTTCTCCCTTCCTGCCCATCTCATTTCCTAGAGAGGTACTAAAAAAGGGGGATTTGAGATATTTTGTGAAGCTTCTTTGTAAAAGGTGCTGCAGCAGTACAGCTTTGAGCTATTAGAAATGCAAGACCTGAAATGTTGGAATTGCCCCCAAAACAGGGGGTCTAGAAGGGGAAATTTCAGTAGGTACAAGTAGAAATTAGACTAAATGTTGAGCAAGGATGTGCAAAATTGGCTCTGCAGTTCTTGGATTGTGAACGTGCTCCATGTCTTCCAATATTAACACCCTAACAAGGGATTGTTTTTCAGAGGGACTATGAATTGAATTCTTCTAAACAAACCATCCATGCTTCTATAAAATAGGATTCCAGTGCATATGCAGCCGTGCAAAATGTGGTCTGATTTTTCTTTTTTTTTTTAAGCAAAACAAAAGCTTTGATCCATGAAGTTTCTGAGTACTCGGGCTCAGTTCCACCTAACACAAACACAAGCTGAAGTCTAATTGTGAGCTGGCTTTAATGGACTTGCTCATGTGTGTAAAGTGCTTGGGGCTTCATTTCACTCCCTGCAAGTGCCCAGCACCTAGCAGGGTTAGGGCTTGTGGGTTTCTTCCTTTTAAGATACCTGTTTTTAAAAAAAAAAAAAAATAAAGCTGTGACATGCACTACGAAGAAAACCAAGGAGGAGATGTCTTAGATTCCTTCAATATGCAAAAAAAAAAGGTAAATGATATAAATGGAATAAAAGGAAAACAGCCAGGATGATTTAAAGTTGCTGGAGAATTATCTCCATTTAGATATATCTGTTTATGGATACTGGGCTGCTACTTCATATATGGGCCTGTGTTGAGGTATTAGACTGCTGTCTATAAAACATCAATGATTTCCCCCAAAAAAGCAGCAATTGAAAGAAAACTAGTGCTTTCACCAAGCAGATTTTAAACGCAGGTTGTATTTACCTCAGTATAAAGGGATTTGATTGAAAAACATCTATTTAGTTGGGTGAAATTTAATATTTTTGAATATTAAAAAATAAATAAAAAAACAAAATTCAAAACTTGTGCAAAGCAGTAGAAAAAACATCTGAATAATGACTAGTTTAGGAAAAAAAAATGCTATTTCAGCTGTTTATCATATATAAAGTAATACTACCAGAGCAGCAGATAAGTGATTGTAACATTTTGGGGTTTCAATTTTGTAAGTGTTTCGCGTGGAGCAATGAAAAGGTGTTGAAAATAAGATTTTAAGCAAGCAGTATAGAAATAAAAATGCAAAAAAAAAAAAAAGAAAACACATTTCTTTTGAGTATTTTCTTTGAGGCTGACGATCCTGGGACGGCGGCGGCCCCGGCCGTGCCGAGGACGGGGCGCTCGGCGGGAGCTGGAGCCTCCCGCGCTCAGCGCCGGGATCTGCACAAATTGCTCTGCCCGCTCCGTTACGGGCGGCAGGGCTGGATTCGGGAGGGCAGAGTTTCCAGAACGTTTCTCTCGGTGTGCGCGCAGCCCGGAATAGCTGGGAGTTGGACATATTCCAGGCCTGGGGCACGGATGCCGGTGGATTTTCGGAGACAGCTGGGAGTGGGCGGCTCCCGCTGGAGGACGGGGCATTCCGGATCTCTCCGT